TTGGCCACCGTATCCCACATACATTGTGACGCATCTAAAGATATGGTCTAGCCTGGGCTCAGCTCCCATCGAATATTTACAAACTTTTATTCCACCAACTCGGTGGGTTAGAACTTAAAATTCTCTGTTTTACTACAACCTCTAACAAATATCTTACTTCTGAATCTACCAATTGATCCATCCCTACTATCTTTATTTGCTTATTTATCCTAGGTTGGTTCGCAGCGTCGTTACTCAGACCAGGTGTGATGTTCTTCTTTCCACGAGGCCTTTTCTTTTCTTCACTTTTTTTAGGTCATTTTTTCTTGGCACCAATATTATTTTCTTTTTCCTATGCGATGAATTTTCTGCATCTATCGCTCCATATTAATCTATGAAAGCATTCTTGCATACCAAAGCTAGCTGCTTTTAGAGTTTTTAGAGCTACGGCTTCGTTCTCTAAAATATTACTTAACCACGAAAGTGTGCTGCATTTAAAAAGGCCCTTTGATAAAAGACTATGCGCCTTAACTCTTTCTGATGATCACTTGTACCAAAATTTTCCAAAAAGCTCTATTACTAAAAATACAAGCATATATAGTAGTATCGTTATAAGTCAAAGAAAAACTATAAGATGGCAACTATTATTTAGAGATAGTTCTCATATGCTACTTGCTAATAGTCTTAGAGTTTATTACTTACTACGGGTGAGGCACTTGCCATTTAGAAATAGTTCTCATACACTATTTGCCGACAAGTTTAGAGTTTATCACTTACCGAGAAAACAAGTATTTGTATGCCTGCTCTAATAGGAGTCTCAATAGAGACTATAGATTGCTATTACTTTTAGTAAAGAAAAATCTACACTCTTTAAAATGGTACAAGTGCTTTTTTTTTCCTCCGCCTCCCCACCGATTTTACAAAAATTTTTAACAAAAAGTGTGCAAAATAGCTTATCCTCTCCAAAAGATCAGCATTGTTTATACTTACCAAATTTGGATAGACTTAGTAGAATGCAACCATGTATTTGTTTATATCAATACGGTACTATATCACATGGCAAGGATCGGTGCCTTGGTTTAAAGATACCCGAAGTTTATTATACATCATGGAAAGAAAATATCAATGTTAAGGCGAAGCTTTACAATAGAGATATATTAAATATTGCAATTAGTATATAATTTTTTTACCCTTGCACAGGTCATAATAGTGCACCTTCTTTATATATATATTATAACTATGACTTCTTTTTTTTTGTTTTTTCTATTTTTATCTTTTAAATTTCTTTTTGTTTAGTGTACTCTTCCCCTCTTTTTTTTTTCTTCTCTTTATTTTTTTTCCTCTTATACCCTTTATATATATTTATTTTATTTTATTTTATTTTTTCATAAATAGATTATGGTTTAGTCTTTCTGCCAAGATCTAGATAGGAAAAATTGAAAGAAAAGAGATGGTCATGATGGGCTGGTAAATCCTGGCCAGTGAATTGTGAATCTCTAATCTGAGATAGATTAAAAAGAAGCAAGGAGAGTAATTTTACTCTGGCAGATCACACATAGGTGCTTTTTAGTAACCAGGTGAGCTACACTTTAGCATAAAATAGCTTAGCTATAGATGGAAAACATGGGAATAAAACCTGTATATATTCTATTTTAAATAATAAAGTTGTAACATGATTGCTTAAAAAAAAAATATATATATATATATATATATATAAAATATATAAAAGATATAAAAAGTGTATAAAAGATATAAAAAATATAAAAGGTATAAAAGGTATAAAAAGTATATATTAAAGCTTATTGTATCTAGATCCTATTTGCGTCCTGTGTGAAGATAATAAGGAGGAAAATGCAGATCACCTCATGCAGTGTCAGGCGCTATATGAAACATGGGTAGAAATCGAAAAGTTTAGCATCAGCCTAGCTTGAGCATCAATAGAAGAAGTTTATAGAGTAGCTTTAACAGTTTAAGATTTGTGGAGAGCAGTTCTTGGTTCATCACTAGTAGAGAGAGTCAAAGTGCATAGTCTTTTATCAAAGGGCCTTTTTAAACGCAGCACACTTTCGTGGTTAAGTAATATTTTAGAGAACGAAGCCATAGCTCTAGAAACTTTAAAAGCAGCTAGCTTTGGTATACAAGAATGCTTTCATAGATTGATATGGAGTGATAGATGTAGAAAATTTATCGCATAGGAAAAAGAAAATAATATTTGTGCTGAGAAAAAACGATCTAAGAAAAGTAAAAAAAGAAAAGGCCTCGTGAAAAAGAGAACATCACACCTGGTTCGAGTAGCGATGCTGCGAACCAACCTAGGATAAATAAGCGAATAAAGATGGTAGGGATGGATCAATTGGTAGATTCAGAAGTAAGACATTTGTCAAAGGTTGCGGTAAGACAGAGAATTTTAAGTTCTAACCCACCGAGTTGGTGAAATAAAAGTTTGTAAATATTTGATGAGAGCTGAGCCCAGGCTAGACCATATCTTTAAATGCATCACAATGTATGTGGGATAAGGTGGCCAACATCAGTACAGTAGCCAAACTTGGGCATCTCGAAGGGACAGCCGGGTTTTAGTCTAATCAGATTATTAAATAGCTTAATGTGTTTTAAGTAGTAAATATTTAATAAAATTTTAGTACGTGGTTATCAAAGAAAAAAAAAAATATATATATATATATATATATTAGTTCAAAATAAGGCAGATATTTAATTTATTAAACTAAGTTTTTTAATTTGAATCAAAACACTATATATATACATATGTATATACTTACTATTATAGGAAATATAATAATTCTAACTATAAATGCTAATAAAATTAATAGTTAATTTTTAGTATAGCTAGGCAATATATATATATATAATTATATATACATATATATATATACATATGTGTCTAATTAATATCAATTTACAGTATATGTGTATATATATATACATATATATATTCATTATATATAGTCCTAATTGCTATAAATTAATGTAGTAATCTAATTTGTATAAAATTATCAAATAGACAATTCTGATTAATGTTAATTATTAGTGCAAATTAGCATATATATGTATAATCAGGTAGAATAAATACATATATATTTATCTAAATTTAATATACATATTACTAATTTGAATAGATTTGTTAGCAATACTGATTATCTTATTTTTTTAAAACATTTTATTTTAAGTATAAATGCTAACTTATTTACTAGCTATTTAAAATATTGATTTATTTTATTTTAATAAATCAAAATAATAGACTATATAGCTGGTAAATAAGTTAGTATTTTATTCTGCTTTGACATTTTTATTTTTTAAAATTTACTTCATAGCACTTGTTATGCTAAATAAAAATTAGGTTATTTATTTAAATGATTATATGTCGTGACCCAGTGATCAGAATCATATGGTTTTGTTACCATTCGATTCGTCTCATCGAGGCGAATCGATCGATGGTAAAATCATGCGATTCTGATCACTGAATCACAAGATATCACAAATGCGCCATAATACCTGTACTCACCTTAATATTTATAAATGATAATAATTTGAGAATTATTATAAAAAATATAAGAAATATACATTTTTTAAGATTGAAGTTTATCGATCAACATTAATCTATTTAGCTGAAACGAAAATAACAAATCAAAAAGCTATATTTTATCTGTGACAATGAAATTCTTAAATAGTATTAGCTGGTTAAAATAATCTTGAAAGTTTTTATATTACAACACCAGTAAGAGACAGAAATAATTAATAATAAAAAGTTTAAAGATGTATAGAAATAATTGTATCTAAATCTTGATTGCAAACTTTCATTAAATTGATTAAATTAATAAATCTCGAAATATTTATTACTTGGTATTGCATTTTCAATTTTTTTTTTTTTTTTAGTGACTTCTTGGATGTTCGCAGTGGCTCTTTGGAATGCCAATGCTCTTATTTAGCTTATAAATATAGTAAGCTCATGATCTCGGTTCGTCTTCATAATAATGTAGCCATATTATCCTGTAATACAGTATAATATGTCGGAACTACGAAATAATTATTTAGCATTAACGTTAATTTTGTTTTAAAAAACATGTAGAATGTGACTTCGCTCGTATTTGGAAACGGGTTTTATTTTTTCATGCGTTAAAAAACGGTAACAATTAAGATTCAACTTGGTATATACATATTATCAAAAGAATTTTATTCGTTGATGAGTGTCAATCGATCAACAAGTTTTTTAATCGAACATTCAGTCATAAGATGTAAATTTACATACATAATATTCTGGTTTAAATTTTGAAGCATACAGGCATCATAAAATTCAGAACTGATACTGTATCTAATGATCTGATTTTGATTTATAGGAAACAAGAAAATGTTCGAAAAAATTGGAATTTATGACAAATGAATACTTGAAATTTGTCGATTTCGATTCCATTAGTTTAATATTCTAACTAAAATTTTATAAAACTACCCAGTATAAACTTTGCAAATTGTAAATTCTGATGTTATCTTTAAAGGAAATAGCCAATAAAATTTAGGATCATCATTTATAAAAACTATATCTGAGATTATTTGCATTGTTTACGTTAGATTTGCTTTTCATGTTTTTATAAAAAAATTTAGTCAAGTTTCAAGAAAAAATGTGGCCATCTTTTTTAACTCTTTTTAATGGCTCAAATCATTTATTATTTTTCTTTTTACTACCAGTTGCTTTTGACTTGGGAATTTCTATTGGTTTAGCCTTTTCGTTCGCGCTGTTTCTATATTACAGCTTATTAGGTTTGACGAAAGTAATATGGTCGAAAAAAGAGGGCCTAGGTTGGATTGTGGTATGTAAATAAATATTAGAGTATATAATCTTATTTCATTCTTGTTAATTATTATTAAGTTTTTGTTATTATCATCAACTATATATATATATTTGTTAACTACTTTTCTAAACATAAACATAGCCACAAATTTTCAATCTATCACAGCCAATCCTAATTCCTTTCCTTCTATACCATTCTTTTAGATTGACTTATTTGTCAATGCTAAACGATAAATCTGGAAAAAGTGAATTACCATGGGTGTTAAACCTTTATAAAAATCTTCTAGCATATTCTGCTCCTGTCTTTATAACAATAGAAGGTGCTGCTACTGCAATTGCGATTGTTATTAGTAGAAATATCGTAAGAAATATGACTGATGATGATAGTCAACGTGCACAAGTATGTAGTGTATATTTATTCTCTATTCCATTTAATTAAATTAGTTTATTAACCGTTTTTTTTCATAATAGGTCTGCCTTCTGATCGCATCTATCGCGACCTACGTAACTTCATTTTATGCTTTATATGTAATTTACTCCATCCCTGGAATGGATATTATTACCGCGACACTAATTGGGTCTGTCCTGACTTTAGTCATTGTAACAACAATTTTGATGTTTATTAATGGTGAAGGCATTATAACTGATGCTGCTCTATTGGTATGAAATATTTAAATTTTTAGTTGTTTTTATTTCTTTTTTAATTAATTCTTAAGCATATATTCTTAGTTTGCCTATAATATATATTGTATATACATGTTATCGATCAATTGGAATCGTGAAAGTAAAAAATCGGGTAGTGCTATATTGATTGATCATGAAAAATTATCTCTTCCGCTTGCCACTCTTCAAACTATTGGGTTGTCTATTTCGGATTCCATATACAAGTAATTTATATTATATAATATCAATAATATTCACGATATTTATTAGCTTACATATATAAATTTTTATTATATAGAATCAATACTAAAACTTTCTTAAAAGGGGTCACGAACTTTTTAGGTACTTTTAGATCAATTTCAGCTATACAAAAAGCTCTTTCGCTACAAGCTTTCATATCACTTGTATATCGAACTGGGATTGTGTCTATAGCATTTTATTCTGTACGTGAAGCTGATGAAGATGAGGTATTTTTTTTTTTAAAAAAAAAAAAATCTTTTGTTTTTCTTTGTATTAAAATATCATTATTTTAATTATTTTATCAATTTAGAGTCTTATAGGTCAAACTGTCTTAAATTTTATAACTGCATTCACAACTCCAGTACTTATTGCAGTATATACACACTTGCTATTATCCCATTATGAGTATTTAAATAGTGATGATTCGCTTTGGAGATGGGTTGGCATAGGTGTATGCTGGACTATATATTTGTATTTTGTTAAAAATGATAGAAGTGAATATGAATATTGATCCAATATATTTTTATTGGCTATCAACCTTATCTTTTTTATAATAGAATTAAATTTGATGTAAATACTTTTATAAATAATGAATATCTATTGCATTTTAAATTTTTATGAATAGTTTTACTTCAATTACTCAAAAAGTAGTATTAGTAATACTGTAATAATCAAAAAGTATTATTTTAAAATATTTAATGTCGTCAAATGTGTAATTTATTGTTAAAAAGCAAGCATTAAAGGTACGAATATTAGACCATGTAATAACATATAGTATACATAGCAGCAGCGTTGGCACATTTGTCCATTGACCAAGCCCACTGGTTCCATTGGGTGGTTACTATTCCAATGGACCAATGGACAAATAGGTTAAATAAATTACCGATATATAGCTTTTATAAATATATACACATCAAGATTTCTGTGAGATATTAGCGGAATATCAGACGTTTATAAAGCTGATAGCTACCCGATATTTGGCGCTACCTATTGGATAGACATTGCATATTAGAGATTTGATACTTCTACTGTATTAACAAAATATCAAATATCCGATATTTTACGATATAAATATCAGATGACTAATAGGCTTATCGGATACGATATCTATTTGATAGGTTGCAATACAGTACGCGCCAAATATCTGGTCGCTATCAGCTTTATAAACGCCCGATATTCCGCTGATATTTCTCTGAAATCTTATTGAATTTTAAAGTTTGACCTGTGATACGTAACAACTATATATTGTATATATATATTATATTCCAGGTGAGGGTGCAGGAAGTTTTTTGGGCATGCCTTGGACTAGAAGCATGCCTCTTCAGCCCGGGCATACCCCTATAAATATATATACCAATATTATTTCTGTTAATATTATAATATCAACCAATCAGAAAGCATCTTAATATATGTTTTTTAAATATCAAATAAAGGGCATGCCTTTTAGCTTAAAGGTATACCCCTTCTCACCCTAGTTAAAAGTCCCTATACAGGATCTTTTTTATTATCTCCGCTAACATTAAAATTTTTTAACAAAGATTCTGTCTGAGAACTTTTCACAACTCAAATATATAATTTATAGAAAGCTTTTACTACTAGTGGAGATAGTAAAAAAGGTCCATTCACGGACTTTTCACCCGCCT